TTTTTATTATTAAGTTGCGTATAAAATACGCTCCAATCTATATATTATTGCTTGCAAAATGACGTGATATTGTGCAATTAAAATGATCATTCTCTGAAATCAATTCTTATATATACATGCTTTACAATATTTGTTCCTTTTTTTAATAACACGTGCTTGAATGAAAATGTGTAATTTACTTAATGCGTGCCATTAATAGAAGCTCATATTTAATGCAAGCAAAGGCAGTTTTAACTTGGAAGATTTAATGATATGGCTCGAAACGTGTCTTACATATTCATCCCCCGATCAGGACTGTTCATTGGTAGCAAAACTTAAATTTTTTTCAGGTAATCTCGTTACGTGAGAATTTCAGCTTTAATGTTTTATTATGGAATTTATTTAAACGTCACGTTTTTTTTACTCCAATGAATATTTGAATATTATATACCTCTAATAATAAAATCTCTCTAAATAAGTTTTTAAAACGACCTTTGCTGTCGTGTTTATAAAAATTAAAATAATTCTCTTATTCAAAAATTCAAAATTATTGGTTCACTGTTTGTTGTAAATTAAACTAAAGCTATTTAAACTTGAAAAAAAAACTTCCTCACTGTTTATAATTTAATTAACTTTACCTTAATCAACATTCACTTATAGTCATTTTCTATGAAAAAAAAAGAAAATAATAAAGTTTTAAAATATGAGGTTGTTTGTTCATAAGGTTAATAACTGTTTTTCAATTTTTTGAGTTTATCAAATAAAATTTAGAAAAACATTATTGTCCTAATTTTGTGAAAATCCTTCTCAAAAGATACAGGAGACAAGGAATATGGACGGGATAAAGTTAATTGGAGACTGTAGACATATGAGATAAATGATATAGGAGATAAGGAATATATTTGATAAAGGATATAGGAGATAAGGAATATATGAGATAATGGATATGGGAGTTAAAGGATAAAGAAAATGATGGATATAGGAAATGCATGATGAAGGAGATGAAATATATGGAGGACAATGAATATGGATGACAAAGAATATAGGGGGTAAAGAAACTCTCCGCAAATTTAAATATAATCTCATAAACAACTGTCAGGGGAGATAAAATTCAAGTCTATATTCGCTTCCCAGACATTTGATTTGACCGGGAAATTTTTACAGTGTATTGATGACTTGTTCCTGTTCCATGACAAAGTTAGGGGGACAATTCGCTTTTCAAAATATATAAACATTTTATTTCAGTTCCTTTTACACTTATTGAAAAAAACAAAGATTTGTCGCACTGAAATGTCAATTTCTTCACATAGCTACACATTGTGCATAAGTACATTAGTTGCTGCACTTCTTGTACATAAATTAAATTTGTGTACAGTTCCAAAATTATTTTCATGCCGGTCACATTCGTTCATCTTGATACTCTGGAATCGTGTTGTATTCATATGCATGGTAGTGTTCTTTTTAACCAAATTTGTTTCTTACCATCTATGGAGAAGTGGTACGAAAGAGTTACGCGTAGAAATGTACTTTCCCTAGATTTGCTCCTCTTGACCAATGATTTTCTTCCTGTTCTGTTCCTTATTCTTTTTTTTCTCAACAAATGTGGTTTTTTCCGGTTTTGTTTCTCACCTTTACTTTTTTTTAAAATTTTTATTGAGAAACTTTGACATTTTAAATAATTTTGTCCCTTCTTATTTATGCCTGGCAAGTTTTGGAAATGAGAACCTGTTTTTGAACCCGTGAAGCAGTCGACGGTTCAGTTGTGAAGTTCTTAATCACGTAATATCTTACCGCTTCAGTTTCTAGGGATTATCTGTTTAATTTAAGTTCTGTCGAAGATCATAGTATGATTATTAAAAAAAAGCACAATAATTCGAAACATCGTAGTAAAAATGAAACAGCTTTAAAACTAAAAATTTGAAGAGATGACTGAATTATTTTCTACTTCATTTGTCAAAAAAAAATAATATATATTTTATATTACGTACTTCAATTGAAAAGATTAAAAAATGTATTTTCAAATTCTCACTTCTTTTCATAAAACAGCCCGCCAAACTAAAACAATTTAAAAAGTAAAACTACGCATAACTAGACTATCCTTAATGAGTTCTCATAAAACTCCTGAAGGCTAAAAATTTATTTTTCAGTTACTTTTTGTAAAACTTCTGAATAGATGAGAGACACTTCAATTATCAGGTATCCATAGCTAATGAAAAAGAGTTTATTTACGATGGAAACTTTTTGAAAACTAATTAGCTGCGAATAAATATTCTAAAATGCTTAAAAGGCGCTATATATTTTAGACATACTAATTTAAGTTGGACAAAAAATTTAACTAAAAGAGCTATTGAAAATATCTTAGACTATATTTTATAGAGATTAAACTGAGGCTTTAAGCCTAAGTTAAAATTATTTAAACTAAACTCCTACCATATAATGCAGTGTTTCCGAAACTTTTGACTTTTTGAACTCTTTCTAAATTTTTCGTAACGCTGTATACCACTAATAAAAAAAAGATTGAATTTTTTACTATAAAAAAATAGCTATAAAGTTAAAAATCACAACTGGCTGTTGACACCACTAATTATTAACTGTTAACTCTGCAAAATATACCCAATGGAAAAATCGTAAATTTTCATGGTTTCTTTGTTTTGAAATAAAATTTTTCAAAATTTTTGCTTGTTGCAAGATCTTTCACAAAGGAACGTGTACCCCCGCTACACTGTTCCCGCAACCCTGTAGGTACGCGTGCTATGCTTTGGAAAACACTGATATAATGTTTTATTTTCTTTCTAATTACTAAGTTATTTATCAAAGATAAACTTCAAAAATGTGATGAAATATTCTGTAAAAATGTGTCAAAATAAAATATTTGAAAATAACCCACTGCACAGTAAGACTTTACTGAATTATTATTAAAACAGGAAAAAAGGTAAATAAAAAAGATTTTAATTTGAGATTTTACAGTTATTTAGATCAGCATTAAGATTAGTAAAATTTAAAACCTTATAAACATAAAAATTTATAACAGATTTGATGTTTTAAAAATTTCATGAAACTCCAGACACGTTTCTACGAACTCTTCATAATGTAAATGCTAACAATATTATAATCTTTTTATTAAAATTTCTTAGAAGTTTTAGAAGTATAACTAAATTATTTCATTACTAACGCAAACACTGTGTTTCTGTATATTTATCAGAGTGGAAACTAATCCCTTACTGAGAAAAACCTAAACAAAACTGCACTATAAAAAGACTCCAGAAAGCAGCACGATATAACAGAGTTAATTTAATATTTTGCAGATAAATATTTTTAGGTTGCGTTATTTTGTGTGCCACATAAATTTGAATTCCAGTCTGAGATATTTATCATTGAAATATGCCCAAATTTATTATTACAATTAAAATAATACTCATTTTAGAAATATTATTCACTGTAATTCCGAATTATATATAATAAAATTTTTAAAATGGTACAGCAGCAACTAAAATATAATAATAAAATATTTTAGAAGGAACATAATAAAAAATTTTTAATAATCCGTGATGTAGCACTTCTTAAAGTAGTATACTTATATTTTTATATTTTTTAGCATTATTAATTTTTTCTAGCAACGAAAACATATTTTTAAAAACTTAATTCTTGGCTCTCTATGGCAATAATGGCTGACATAAGCCAGTTAGAACTTTTCATTTGTTTGTGAAAATGTTACATAATTTGTTATGATTGCTAGAACTGTATATAGCTATTGATAATAATTTTGAAATACTGTTTTATAAAGTGAATTAAATTAAACTTAATATAGAAACATAAAGACGAGGGAATAATATATGAACAGTATGTAACAGCATTGCAAAAACTTTGAAAGGTATTAGCGTAGCGGATATTCATGATTTTCTATTAATTTCTCGTACATATTATATTCGCACTATATATTATGCAGAAAGTGCATAAAAGACTCATGTCTTTTCGAAAGATTAATAGAAACCTTATGAATAATAAAACTAAAAGATGGAAACCGTATGGTGTAAGATGTAATTAACTTGTAACGAAGTGTTACATTAAAAATGTATTGATTAGCCTTGTTTTTCCTCACAGATTCTTCTTACATAATTAAGAAATCGATCATATTCTTATTTTAAGATAACAGTCTACGTTCAATGGAAATTTTTATAAAAGCATAATAATATAGTTAAATTTTAAATTTGCGTAAGATTTGTTAAATCACAATTTAAAATGGGGTACGTGAATAAAATTATAATGTTTTTTTTCTTTTTTATTATTTTGAAATCCTTGAAAAAATAAACAAATGGAAAAAGTTAGGAGTCACACTTAGTACTCTATACTCAGATTTATTTTTATAAAGCAGTCGCATTATTCGAAGTTATATCAAAAACACATAATATTAAATTATGCACTAATTTAACACTTTTCTGTATCCCGACCGAAAGGTTTATTAAAATTTTTAAACGCGTAGAGATATGTCAATCTCTGTAGAACACAAAACTTACAGATTTCTTTTTCCTTTTTCATTTCTCAAAGCAGGTAAATATTAAAAATTTATATCAATATTAAATACTTATTTTTATAAACTTTATTTTTTAGGCGCTGCAAGTAGAACATATATGTATATCACAGTACAAGTATTCATGTGGAATAACAGTATATCTAATAATACACTGTAAATATATTATGCATAATGAGAAAAATAATGTATTATATTTTTACTAGTTTTGGATTTAATGTCTAACGTGGATCTAAATATATTAAACAATATTTACGGATGAAAAAATTGGTACTGTATAACTCATAAAATTAACTCATAAAAATTAATTGAGGTTATTTAGTCGGAAGCTTGAAATTATCAAATTTTCTTTTTTGAAAAAAAAATAGTCGTTTTGGAAATTTAATTCTTATACAACTCTATAGAAACCATTTCAAATAAATCTCTTGTGCTCATCTGTCAATAAAATCTGAAAATAAAAAGAAAAAAGAAAAGTTGAAGCTTACTTGTTTAACTTAAAGCGCAAGTGCTGTTTTGTGGTGGCGCTGTATATCGACTCAGGAGTAAAGACTCTAAAACTAGTATCGTGTCTTCTCTAGGTCATTCCTGGCGAGTATGCCAGAAGTGATTGTGTCCTTAACTGCGCCAGCAAGTACGATATAAGTATTGTCATCATACTTTTTCACGTGGTCTATTCAGTGATCAAAGCGGATAATTTGATTATGAATAAAAAAGTTAGATGAAAAGTTAATCTCCCTGCAGTATATTCTTCTGATTTACTAGAAAAGAATTAAATGATAAATTTTTAAGACGATTTATTTTATCAAGTAATACACTGAATATCACGACTTGATTTGGAAAGAAATAGAATTCGGTGAAATTGTTTGATTTATTTAACTTGTTTACAATGAAAAGATTATTTGGTTACATGAGCATGTAAAAATGAAATTAATTTCAAATAAATATCATCGGTTCCAAATTTAGTATGCATTAGGGAAACGTATTGAGAATGTGTTTTTAGTTCATTGATGGTATTTTATTTCGACCACGTTTAACATAATTAAAATAAAATTGAAGCTATTCATTACAGTTTCAAATCTTATACGATTGTTAATAAAATTCACTTTGGAGAAAAATAATGAAACAACGATAGAAATTTGTTAAACGAAAAATTACGTTAAAATCGAAGAAAGCTTTGCGAAATTTAAGATAAATAAAGAAATAAATAGTTGTTCAGCGAAAAAAAAATGTGCTTAACATAGTTAGAAACACGGAAAAGCTTTTGGGAAAATCACAGTGTTTGTGCTTTTTTTCTGCAATTCAGTTAAAAGAAAAAAATATGTTTCCTCAGTGATGTGGAACGTGAGTTGGATACCGAATGCATCGTTAGAAGAAAAAACTGTTTCTTTGTTGTTCGAATGTATTCGATACTAGAAAAGCAACTCTATTAAAAACGAACTACGTAAAGGATAAAAATGTCTTTTAAACTTTCTAGTGCAACAAATTTTGATTTTTGAAATTGAACACACACCATTTTAAAATGACATGCGGATTTTTTATTACATTTTTGTTCTTTGAATTAGCAGCAAATGGTAAGTGTAAACTCAATTTTATTTTGTAATTTATCACACATACGCTTAAAATATTTTATTAAAATATTTTAATTTCCATGCAAGGTCTACAATAAGTAATTTTAATTTATTGATTATAGATTAGCAGTAAACAAGGGACTTTAATAATTCTGGACATGCTGAAATTAATATTTCTAAGTAGAAACGCATCATGACAAAATGACAACGATTAATCAACGCATTTGAAAGTAAAGAAAGTCTCACCAAGAATTATTTTTACTGAAACAAATAGCCAGTCAAGAAATAAAGAAATAAAAATCGAATAATTTTAACAAAATAACTTCTTTATAGGTTTAAAATTACTATTAAAAATTTTTGTAGTATACAATTAGTAATTATAATTTTATCAAGCTTTTCCTGAGCGTAATTTGGATTGCTTGGATATCACTCTACTATTCATGTGTGGTCATACGGAGCCACATTTTGCTCTAAAATTTCTTTGAGTCAATGGTCTAATGAATATTTTTCAAATTCAATGAATTCTAGTGAATTAGAGACTTCAACTACTTTTTTTAAAAACACGATTTACTTCATTTAGTCTATATGTCTAAAGTTGAGTGTTTTATAGCTGACGTTGATCAATCAACTCTATTCTAAGTTTACGACTACCCATGTTCAACCTCGCACCCTTGAAAATTTAAACCAAACCCAAAAGACAAGGGAATCCCAGGATCAAACAGTGGTGCAAACTTGCCTTCACGGAAGAATTTTTAATGGCTCTAACTCGCATTGTGTTACATGGAAAGGGGAACCACGTATAACCTCACATGATTAGACCGACGTAAAGTGGATTTTTACCAATAATTCATTTAAATCAGCCAGCCTCTAATGGAATTTGATCCCGTATCATTTCATTGGAAGGCTGATGCTCTATTCTCTAAGCCATCGCGGTTTCTGTTAAGTTCCTTTTTTTGTATAAAATTTAGTATTTTGTACAATTATAATTGCATTTCGTTCCCATATATGATATGTTATAAGACTATAAGTCTTTTGCTGTCATTTTATCTTCCCTTGCGTACTCACATCTTTACATTAAAAAAGACTCATAAATGCATCATAAATAAAATGCGGCATACGGAATTTAAATTGTATTTGCTGTCTAAAATGCCTTTAATAATATTTTCGCCTCTCCAAACTGATGTCTTTGGCAAAATTGCTACCTGTGCTTGATAAGATTTTTGCTCAAATGATTGTATAGTAGACAAAAAAATAATAATTCCATAAACTGCGTCTAAATACTTTAATTAGACACTAATCAATCTTCGTTTAATCAAAACAGCGCGTATTCTCACTGATCATGCTGCTTTTGGCTGATTTGCTTTTGATGCTTGGAGTCATATACAACGATACCAAATAGGGAAAAAGGCCGGCCGCCCCCATAATAATTGTGGCAACACACTACTCTACACTTCACTTATGATCCGTCAGAGGCATCTATTAGTTTTCAGCTGTGGTCAAAGAAAAGAAAAAGATAAAACACGTACTTCGTTTTGCGTCTTATTCTACCCTCTGGTCATAAAATAAATGACTAAAAAGATGTGACACTTACTGTGTCTGGATTCGTCAATTAGAAGCTAAGAAATAAATTAAAAAGTTGAGTTTCAAAAGTCTTTTAAAGCGTATAAAATGATCGTTGAATACATTTACTAACTAAAACTGATACAATTTTCTTAAAGTTTTACGTTCGGTAAAAATCACATTTTGAGAGTTTCATTATTTGAATTAAGTTTATTTGTAATCTGTTGTAGAAGGAGATTTTTTTAATTATGAGTGAAAAAATATATTAAAATGCATTACTTATTCCGTTCTTGTTTGCGGCTAAGGCAAATTATAACCTAGGCAAGTAAAATAAAATAATAATCCAATTGATGTGCTTGGACTTTCATATGAAATGACCTATAGACCAAAACAGGCACTGGGAGTTTATCATGTTAAATTTTGGAGGTTTAAAATATTTATACTTTGTAATATGTTCTCAGACTTATTTGATTGATTTAGCGTATTTTCAACATTTTTATCAAATAAAATATTTTGAAAAAGGAAAATATGAGTAGTTGACATTACTAAATTGTTTATTTGTAAAATATGCCACGAAACGTTTCCACCATTAAAGTTTTCCACAAAAGAAGGGATTTAATAAATAAATTTTTTAAATTTAAATTTTTGACATTGCACAAGTTACAGTCGCAGCTTACTTAAAACTTAATTTAATTCGTAATCCACTAATTGATCATATTTGATTGTTATTGTTAGCTGGACTTGAAGTTGCTGTAAGGGAAAAGTGAATATTGGCGTTTAAAGCTATTAAAGTTCGCCGCATTTATTGTTTCAACTGAAACATTCTTTGAAAATTTCAAAAATTGCGATATCCGATACAAAATCTTCACATGTAAGGATTTTTTCTTTTTTCCTAAATGATGAAGTCACTTCAAATTGTTCAATGCATGCTTTAAAAGTGAAAAGAGAAATACAATGACTATCTCTTGCCTACGTTAGAAACTTGGGGAATACCATATTAATACCAGAGATGCAAGAAAACTTTTTAAAAGGCTTGATAGTTTATAAGAAATTTTTCGATAGTTTTACGATAGTTTTCTTGATAGTTTATACGAAAGAGTTTTCCTGAAGTGTAATTGCAGGAATTCGGCAGTTGTTGCAGGGTTTGTACTGAGAAACCTGCTTCAACTTGTTAGTTGTTACCACTACAGAGGAAACTAATAGAAAATAAGAAAATAAATTTTCAAAACTGAATTTCATGTTTTACCCAGCTATAATGCGTTAGAAATGAAGATACGCTAACTTTACGGAATTTGAAAATGATGTATTTGTTATCGACGATTGTAGAAATTAAGCCCGCGTGTACGCATTTTTGCTTCTTTTAATACACGATTTTCGCTAAATTTAAGTAGGAAATTCGTTTTTTTGTTTTATATTTTGCTATAACATGCACAGTTTACTCGTTGATTTTCAAGCACTGAAAATTTTAATTTTTATTCTTGTTTTATGCACCTGTAATTTTACTTGTTTTTTTCTTCAAACACTTTTTTCTGAATTTTTATTTATTTTTTATATTATCAAAACTTGCTGTTACTAAATAATGTTAAATTTTTAAAAAAAATTATACATGCTTAAATTTAAAACTTATATAATCTATATTAACTTCATGAGCATTTGCCTTGTTTTAAATAACAACGATTTATTCATTGTTGTAGAAAAATTTATTTAGTTCTCAATATTTCCTAATTTTATAATCTTGTGCTTGAATTGAGGTCAAAATTAAGAAATTAGGAAAGAATAATGAGAGATGAAAAACAGTTTCCAATCTAAACTTTCATATGATATAAGAGTTAACTCTTCCCTGATATATAAGCTATCGTTATCTCTTAGAGAGTAACGTAAAAAAATTTTTTTTTTCGATAACTGAAATGCATTATCTCTCAAAAGTTGAACAGATGGATAGTGGTGGATTTTTTCCAGAATTTATCTACATTATCATCTGTCCTCCCATGACATATTCTAAGGCTTTGCTAGCATCACACCCTAACGACGAACTTTATCTGCACAAAAATGTCCGAAACCCTTCGTGACAGCTTGAAATACTTCTCAACTATTAAGCCGTTACATTGTAATGGCTTAATTGTTGAAAAGCATATCAACAATTAAGCTGTTACAATGTAACGGCGCTTAAACGCATTAAGGGGGAATAAATATAGCAGATTTATTCCATAGAAGTTTGAATGATGAATGAAAAATGAATGCATTAAAGCATAATGAAATTGTTTTCAACATTTTCTGTACCGTGTGACACATGCAAGTTATGTTTGTTTTACCTTAAGTCTTTAAGAATCGTTTCTGGACAGATAAATTTAAATTTATTGAAAATTAAATTGAACCAAATGAACGGTTTTTATTGAATGAGCTAAGGTAGCATGAAAAAACTACAGAATTTTATCACATTTACCAAGTTTGTATCCGACATTAAAAAATCATGTTTTATTGTTAACACTCCATCGGGCGCGTTGATCTGACAGATACAGACGTGTCAATATCTCTGCTTTTGTCCCCTGAAACATTTTCTTACGACCTTGACCTTATCAGTATCTGTCCATCTGGCCCCCTGCTACTTTGGAATGCAGTAGTGACCAGTTCGGTGTAGGAGTATTTCCTGTTTCCAAGCTTGTTTGGAATTTTGTATCTGTTAGATACACGTGCCCGATAACGTTTGTCTCGTGAAGCTACATGGAAGTATTGAGATTCCCTGAGCGTTTTTGATTTATCTTTTTCCTACGATGAGTGCTAAACGCTTTTTAGATTTGAAAAATCAGAAAGACCTAGAGCTAGTTCATAGTATTCTATTTAGTGATGGAAATGAGGAATTAAATGCTGAAGAATTTGATGAAAGTGATGCTGACGAAGAAGATATTTTAGAAACACGTGAAGTTGATTGTCATGGCAGTAAAAGTGTTTATAATGACTCAGAACTCGATGATGATGTTAATAATGATTATTTTTATGTAGGAAAGGACAATAATACTTAAATGGGCAAAACAGATCGGAAGAAAAAATTTGACTTAAATTTAGAATCGGATTCAATTATAGTAATTGATTTGTCACTTTTATATTATGTATTATTTGTGCATAACTGTCCTTTTTATACTTTTTCAACAGTTTAACATGTTTAATTAAATGTTTTTTACAGCATTTAACTTTTGTAATAGCGTTTGTGATTAATAAATAAAAATTATTATTGAAAATATTAAAAAATATATAAAAATTAAAAATATATAAAAATTAAAAATATACATAAAAAACTAATAAAAGGTCCGGGTGTAAAAGCCTGGACCTAAAAAGAGTAAAAATAGGAGATTTAAAGTAATACATATTAACAGAAAACACACAAAACAGAGATGTATCTGACAGATACATCGCGCCCGATGCCGTAAGTTTCGAGACGCGCCCGA